CAGCATGATTAGAATGTCAAAAATATGGTATTTGGGCCTACCGAAGTTGGCAAGATAGTGTCTAGCAGGGGCGGATTTAGGGGGGGGGGGGCGGCAAGGCCCCGGCTCCCCCTTTTGGGAGGTAAAAAAAGAAAAAAAGGAAGAGAAAAAAAAAAAATGAACGCCTCAAATGTTATTTTCGGGCGACTAGAAAAAATTTTGCGGGGCATCCCCGGACCCTCTAGGACATTGTTGTCTCGATCGGCCCAAATTTCGCCGCCCCTCCCCCCTTTTTGGACATCTCTGGATCCGCCCCTGGCTAGTGAAAGGGATTGAGGACCAGTAAAAATATTAATTCACTGGTCCACTTGGCTAGTTAAAAAAAACCTTAAGGGAAACCCCTGATTAAAGATATTCCACTGTGAAATTGCAAAAAAAAAAAATCCCTTTAAGATTGAAAACTTTTTAAGATTTAAGTAGAATGGATATAACTCAATAGGTTCAGATCCATTGAATTCCTTCTATTTGTTCAATTTTTGATTTACTACATCTAATTAAAATTATTGATAAATTTTGGAAAAAGACTTCCTGTTTTGAAAGATAACTTACATTTGAGAAGAATGATAGTGATGATACTAGCTGTATAGTTAACCATAATATTATTATAATTAATTTTTCAGTATGTGAGCTGTGTTTTTATGTACATTCCTGTGATTTTTAATATTTCAAATAATTATCTGAGAGATTGGAATTGTTTCCACACCTTTAACAGGAAGTTGCTGCTGGACGTTAAAGTAATCTTCATTGGCCCGATAGTGCACTGTATGTGTGTGATGATTTTTACCGCTTCCAGATGAGTGTTGTTCACTCCAATGAACCTAGTATAAATGCAAAAAGAAAAAATTATTCTAAAAATATATTTTAACAAAAGGTGATCAGTCTTGGACACTACTGTTTTTAAACGCTACTACTAAATAAATTTATAGATAAAAAAAAATATTTAATTAGTATTAATATTCATTTGATATGATATTATTATTATCAGTATTATTATTCAAGATTATTTCTTTTTAATTTTTTCCAATATGTTCTATACAATTATACTGCTTTTATATTTCTTTTGTGTAATTTTGCAAATCAAATCATTATATTATTGGTAAATGTTACATCCACCTCCATTGAAAAAAGCAAAATCTTGAATTTTTATTGTTTTCTTCTAACAAAAAAGTAAAGAAAAACCCAGTGAAGATAGTAACCAAACCAAACCACAGTCAGGATTACCAGTTCAACAACCAATAGGAAACTTTGAAAATTGTATCCCAGTTGGGATACGGTTATGTCTTACGCCGGGCAGACACAATTCTACAGAGAACGCAAAGTAAGGAAACATGTGCAACTGATCATTTTTAATGACAACCAGCAGACAACATTGTGTTGTCAAGTGCTCACTGACGGTCGCACAAAGTTGTGTTTCCAGTTTAGACCAATTGCAATGTACTGTAAACTAAGAGCATGTCTTACATTAGCCAAGCCTTTAAAATGTATTTCGCACAAACGAAGATTTACATCCTTCTCAACGGCGATATCAACATGCCCTGAAACCACGTTTCCTGGTGCATACACAGCTTGCGTTTGATCCAGGATAATTTGAAATAGCTGCAACTTCATGATTTTTATCTGAAACAAATTACATAAAGAAACCTAATTAACAAGAATCATGTCCAAAGTTGCGAATGTAGTAGCAGCACAGTAGAGTAGTATATTAATAATGAATACAAAAAAAACACTGTTAGAGTGATGTTTTGCACAACCTGACGTAAAAAAAAAATTCATATCTTTATAGAACTTGCAGTACCCGCTGCTACTAGGGGATCGGATTCATCACTAGTCACCAAGCGCAGGCTCGGTGGTCTAGTGGTTAAGACATCAGGCTAGATTACCCAAATCATTTGTGAATTTTTTTCGCTAGTATTTGGGGATGTACTGACCTTTTCTTAGGCTTGACATCATTCTGCAGACTGTCATTATTGTAATCAGTCATCAGACAGTCATCCATTTAAGTATTTTGAAAAATAGCAAATAGTAAATTTTTTCATGAGGCTCCAAATTTTGATGAGGGCGG